AATAGAAACATTACATATACTGGTTATATATCTCATTATAACATACATAACCTAAAGATATTAATAGAGAACTTGAAAAATGTTGTTACTCGAGTTTTTATGCTATTGCTTGTCCTGTGAAGCAAGTTGAAATGAAATGAAATGAAATGAAATGAATGGAGTTTTAAGTCCTACTCTTCTGCACCTTGTGGGCTAATGAAGACGGGCAACGCCATGCAGGTTGAAACAGGTCAGTTGTCTGAAGATCTGAAAGTGTGAGCTCTGAGTAACAACATGTTTTTTTCAGGTTCTGTTTTAATACTTCTATATCGCTTTACAATTGATGTATTGAACACTATTTTAACAGTGAAAATATTTTATTATTATACATCACCTCAAATATAAATGTTACACATAATGGTTATATTATAAAATTTCTATTTAAAAACAGATAAATATCTGAAGAAAGTGTCAAACAAAAGATTCTCTAACCTGAGTAACTTCTTCCTCTCTGTCACCTTCTCCAAACTCATTATTTAATAGTTCATCTATTTCTAATTGGAAACTAGGACCAATAGTATTACGGCTTTCATTACTATGTACACTAGCATTGTCTGTAAGTATAAACATACATTGGTATCATATCACGAATACAGGTTTTGACATGGTCTTATTAACCTGTATTAAACTAAGCCCACTACACTTCGTTTTGGGGCGTGGAAATGAGATTGGTGCTATTTCAATCTAACCAATTAGATCGGTAAAAAGGTGATGAGGTCATGTAAACAAAACACAACATCCCTTTGCTGCCACCCAGATGCAGAGATAACCAGTCCTTCCAAATAAATATTCCAAAGTGATTTCCTATCAGCTTCAATTTAATAACAAAAATCTTACTCAATTCTGTACCGTCCATGTCAAGCAAAGCATTTATGACAAGCAGCATTAGTTTTGTTTAAATTCGCAAACAAAACGTCATAACTTTACTACCAAGACAGTAGAGATCATTTTCATTGGACAATATTTATCTATGAATAAGTAATTTTTCTCACTGGAACTTCAGATCAGTGAGCAAACGTCTAACTCACTGAGCCACAGCGGCTGCAAATATGAGAGAAAATCATATTCCAACCTGAAGGTAAGGGAGTTCTAGTTCTAATTTGACTAATATCAGGAGTAGTGGAACCATCAGCATTAAAATCAGGATATTCTACAATATGATCTTTCTCAAATACACCTTCATAGATACGGCCATTTTTAAATGTGAACTTTCCCTGTAAAATAAGTATATACTGAGCTAGGTATTTTGGTGGCACAATATAGTTATGGATAATACTATTAGATTTGCATTTCTGATATAGACTTTTTCAATCTTCAGAAATTGAACCATTTTAGTTCTGAACTTTGGCAAAGATTATTTATTATTTGTTGAGTCAACATTTTGAGACAAATAAAAACAAAACAATACAAGCAGTCTAATTAAAATTAGCCGCAACATTTCCATTTTTTTTTTTAATTGGCTTTTAAATTCAATATAGCCAAATTCATCAAATTAACCTTTTGACCTTACATCTGCTTTAACCAATCAAATTTCTACCCTCTCTTTGTGACATGGTGTTTATCAACATAGGTCAAAAGGTTAATTTGATGAACGTTCAAGAAGGCTGTCGTCAGACCTTAACTGATGTGGCTATATTCAAAATAAAAGCTCATAAAAAAAACATGAATGAACGAAAGTTTAATCTTAATTAGACTGGCAGACACGTTGGTTTTTTAATATACAAGTCAAGTCAACACATTGTACAAATTTAAAAATATTTAACAACATTCCATACTTTTCCATGCTTCATGTTGTTTTTCCAGTAGCCTTCATATAATGCTCCATTAGCATATCTAAAAGATCCAAAACCATGGCGTAATCCATTCACAAATTCACCATCATACATATTTCTTAAAGGATATTGAGAGGAATGATTTCTTCTTAATAACCAAATATGCTGACCCATTCCATGCTGAAACATTAATAGATAGTCTTAAATAATTGCCATTTTATTGTTATATCTGGGATGCATAATTTAATAATGAAATGAAAGCAGTTTTACGTCCTACTTTTCTGCACCATGTCGGCTTATGAAATTTTGTCTGGACAGCAGCATTAGCCTGCTCTTTTTCGATTTCCAACTGTCAATATATCTTTAATGTGCACAGTCTGTACCACACAAGGCCTCGATTTATTGTTCCATACGAACAACTAGAGGCTTATTCCATATCAGCCTCTCTTAACTGCATCATTTCCATGTCAGCCCCTCCGACCTACATAACTAGCATTTGGAACAAGCTTGAAAGTCAGATTGCATCATCTTGACCTATG